AGAGAGAGAGAGAGAGAGAGAGAGAGAGAGAGAGAGAGAGAGAGAGAGAGAGAGATTTTCCCCTCTGACCCAGTTTTTTTAATTAATGGTGAACCCTCATTTGCTAACAAAGCTGTTAGTCAAAGCTGTGAATTTTAAATGTTTCCAAAGATCAATTAAAAACGGTAATAAAAATCTAACGTCTAGCCTAAAGTGTTCATATAAACTGTCTTTTTCAAATGTAATTTGTCACGCTTGGTGGTTGGATCTTCTGATTTTTGACGTTTTCTGCTCCTCTGCACATTTAATACTTAAAGATGTAGTTTTAAAGTATCATTCATTCATTTTTATTCCTAACTGTCTATCAAACCCACCATGTCATTTCATACAAGTCTTGCCACAAGAGCAGCCAAAGTTTTTTTTTTTTCTTGCCATCAAAGCATTACACCTCTGAGAGGGAAAGTGGCCAAAGTTCTGCTCCTGCTTGGGGCTCTGGTTGAAAGGAAAGACGCCTGTTGTTTCTGCCAACATTAATAGTCCGTTATGCTGTCAGGTGGCTGCTGTCTCTGAAGTGAAGCTATCCTGTTGACATCTGAGCACAAAYGCATCGAAGCACACAACTTGAGGCCTCCACTGATGACTTCCTGGCAGAGCCCATTGTGTGACTCGTCTGACTTCATGCTTCGTGTGTGACTTCTCTCCCTCCAACTGTCTGCACCTCTATTGTCAGCGAAGTAAAAAGGAAGCAGTCAGACCGGGGTGACAGCATGTTAATTAGTGTTTTCACACCATGTCGGGATAATTTTTGAGAAAAAAWWWTTTTTTTTGAGTGGTCTATGCAGTAGCTGTTCAAAAACACAGCCTTTTAAAAGTGGTGTTATGTGAAATAGTTACGAGCAGTTAATGTTTTATTAACGGTCAGCGTTTTCTCAGAATAGCATTCTTGCCAGAGGAGCCAAATTACCCAGTGCTCAGAACGGAGCTAAGGAAAAATGTATTTTCACCACACAGAACAAGGCAAATCTTCAAATATTTATCGTGATTTGAGTGAATGCCGAAGTATGTTATTGACTTGAAATAGGTTTGTTTTGCATGATGTGGAACAAAGAGCATGCTTCAAGAGTTCACTTGAGCTGGTATGAAATTCTGAAGACGAGGATGAAAGATTACATTTCCAGCTGCGCTGATCTGAACATCTGTTATCTCTAGTCGTCTGCCAGGAATCCTGTTTGATTCTCCAATTTGAAAGCATCATTCTGCCTACTGTGGATACTATTTCACACAATCTTGTTTAAAAACATCTCAGTGAGTGGTTTGATTTTTTGCTACTATGGATCTCTATAATAATGCAATGAAACATTGAGATATAAACACACAACAGGGCTGACAGCTTTTGTCTCATTTGCAGTTCTGCGTGATCTAATCAGCAGTTTTATTGGCACTGTTCAATATTTGTTTGCCTGTTTTTTAAAATGTTTTTTGAATATATGATTTAGTGCTGTACCAAACAATTATTTTCTAATCGATTAATCTAACAGTTATTTTTTCGATCAATCGATTATTCTAACAACAAATCTTAAAGTTATTCTGATGTGAGTGCACTGGGTATTTAAAATGTTTTCATCAAATCAACAGGAACAGTTCTTTAATATTGTAATATTTTCTGTAATAGTTTTTTCATGGACACAAAATATGCACTCTAGAGTCAATTCTTTAACAAAAAAAGCTTAAGAGATTTAACATCAACATAAAATCTCAACCAAAGCATATAAAATTCAACTAAAAGAAATATAGTGCAAGATGTTAAC